GGTGGCTGACTAAATACTTTTTTGCCCCACTGTATATATATATATATGTTCATGTGCAGACAATTCATGGTGCTGTCTGTCAAAATGAATGTTCCGAGGGAGTTTTGGTGGTTGTGTATCAATCAAACCAATGAACTTGTTCACTCGTTTCCCCAGATTTGAAGCTTAGACAGACATTTGAGGAATCCCGGACACATGAGAACAACCAGTTCACAGATATTTGCAGGTACACCAACGGCCAGCAGGAGATGCCAGAGCAGCAGCACAAGCCCTCTCTGGAGGAGACGGTGGACACACTCCTGAAACTACTACGGGAGAAACGCCAGGCCCTCGGCCTCCCAGACAACATGAAGGTGAAGCCATCTGCGGATGCATTCTGTTCGGGTGGGTGGGGATATGATTGTGTGCTTGTGCGGCCAGGGTTTGCGGTGATTAACTCAACGCACGCTCTTCTGTCCACAGGAGATGACCCAAAGACAGATGGCCCTGGAGAAGATCACTCTACAAAAATGTCTGCTGAATTTTGAGAGCCTACACGGCCGCCCTGTAAGAGGTTTTTCTCATTTAAATACAGAAATGTTCCAGTTAATTAGATACGGATATGGATTATAGCATTAATATTTGAACAAAATGTGATATTGTCTCCGTAGGGCACCAAACAAGAGAAAAACCTGGTAAAACCTCTCTATGATAGATACCAGATGGTGAAACATCTCCTGTGTGCGACTCCCACTATTACAACTATAGTAAGTGTTATTATATACTGCAGTGCATACAGTACACATACACTACCAGTCAAATAGTTAAAATCATTTTTTAAATGTTTTTATGATAGGTCTTTTTTAACAGTAAGTAACAGTAAAGACGTTTATAATGTTACAAAACATTTCCATTTAAGTAAAAATGCTCTTCATTGAAATACTCATTGAAGAATCCTGAAAAATGTATTACGATTTCCATAATAATATTAAGCAGCAACACTGATAATAATACAAACCCATTATTAATAATTGAGAATCAATAATAATTGAGCACCAAATCAGGAAATTAGAATGATTTCTGAAGGATCATGTGACACCGAACACTGATATAATGGTAAAAAACAAAATACAAATTCTCTTGTTTTTAAACTACAATTTAGAGTAAGATTCTGTATGTTTGTTTTGAATGTATCACAGGAAGAAGAAGAAGGCTCAGATGATGACTCTGTTCGGTACACACCCCCACCCCTGTGCCTCACTGATAAGAGAGGCTGTGGGGAGGAGGAGGGAGACAGTGACCCAGCCTTTGTGTCTCCGCTGGATGAGATCAAGACAGTGAGACATTCAGCCATAACCATGTCCAACCTCCACGAGGCCTCCAGGTATACAAGCCTTAGTCACTGAGGGACATCACGTGTAATAAAAATAATGAGGTAACATTTTAGTTTAGGCACCTATCCTCACTATTACCTAGTTGCTTATTAGCATGCATATTACTAGAATATTGGCTCTTTATTAGTACTAATAAAGCACATAATGTGACCCTGTCTGAGAAATCCAGGCTAAAGTCTCAAAATTGAATTATGAGATCAAAGTTTGCATCAAAGTTTGATTTCAACCATTAATTTCACTATGATTTAAATTTTTGACATGGCTTACTCAGTCAATATTAAAGATATATTTTCACAGAATGTTCTACATCTTTATGAAGGATGATTTTATGTCGAAAACAGTAAATCACAAAAAACGACTTTAGCTGGGTTTTCACAGGCAGGGTCACATATTAAAGGGGTCATATGATGCTTTATTAAAGATCATTATTTTGTGTATTTGGTGTAACAGAATATGTTGACATGCTTTAATGTTCAAAAAACACATTATTTTTCAAATACTGTACATTATTGTAGGCCCTCTATGCCCCGCCTCTCTCAAACGCTTCGTTTTCTACAAAGTCCCTCCTTCCGACAAGCGATGATTGGCCGAGCACCGCAAGCACTCGTCGGAAATGTAACCTTCTTTCTTTGCGTGCACATTTGGGCCGCATTATGCTAATATTTCCACATAGTGAGGTAGATATGTGGGGGCGTGGCAGAGTCTTAACTTTGATAAAGAATATCTCTTTGGTTTTGAGACTTTAGTCTTTGCAACTTCAGGGATCTTATCTATGCACAATCAGCTTGTAACACTCCAAAGAGAAAGGGAAACTTGAAATCGCATCATATGATCCCTTTAATCATCATATGTAACACTTTATTTTAAGGTGCCCTTTTTACACGTTACATGTACTTACTATTATGATAACAATAAATTATGCATAATTGCATGCAAGCAACCCTGAACCAAATCCTAATTCTAACCCTACCCATATAGCAAGCACAAGTAGTTAATTAATATTACTCAACACTTAAATGTAACAAGGACACCTTAAAATAAAGTGTAACTTTAATGCCTTATTCTGCGTGAGCATATCTTAAGATACCTTAAAGGGATAGTTCTCCCAAAAATGAAAATTCTGTCATTAATTACTCACCCTCATGTCGTTCCAAACCCGTAAGACCTTTGTTCATCTTCGGAACACAATTGAAGATATTTTTGACAAAATCCGAGAGTTTTCTGACCCTCATGCACAGCACACAACTGAAACATTCAAGGCCCAGAAAGGCTTTCTCTCACAAAAATCTCCTTACAGTGTCTCATCATCTAGCACAGTTTTATCATTGTAAAATATAAATTGGGTAGACTAAAATATGTCAGTATAAGCATTTCTATCAAATATACATAGTTTAAACAACATGTTAAACCTTTAAATTGTGGCTAACAGTATAAAAGCTTAAAATTCTTCAGGAAAATCGCAGAATTGGTAACCCTCTGGACAATATACTGCAATATATATTCTGTTGTGTAGACAGAAAACCTTGGGTGACATGGGTGTGTAAATGTTTCCTAATGATAAACTGTAGGGTAAAATATTCCTTTACAAACGATCTGTGTCTAATTGAATTGCAGGTCTGAGTTGCTGGAGTGTTTGCGTGAGACTCGAGCCGAGAAGAAGAGACGACGTAAAGTCATCAGAGAGTTTGAAGAGCAGTTTCTCACACAGATGGGAAGGTAAAACACAGATGCGTTACTGTGGCATTAACACATTTTAATGGTATTTTGTTACTTTTGTCTTTTTGAACATGGACAGGAAGGAAAAAGGAAAATAAAGATCAAAATAGTTAGCATAATGCACATCTAGGATACAAAAAATAATACCACCAGAAAGAAAAAAAACAAACAAACAATGTTTCTGTACACAATATATGGATTTTGTTTTTTAAATAAAATACATTTCCATTTAATCTGCTATCCACTGATGTACAAAACAGTAAGGCAACTCAAGGGTTAAATGTGTGTTTTAATGGTAGTGGAATCTCACAGAGTCATCCGTTTCATGCGGAATCTGTTTTTTTCTTCTTTCCCTCTCCACCAAAATAATGAAGAACTGCACAAAAAGATGACCGAATCCCCATGGCCGAGGAGTACCAGGAGTACAAAAGTCTTAAAGCCAAATTACGCTTACTGGACGTGTTGCTCAGCAAACAGGAAACCACATAGACTATCTGAGTTAAAGAGATTCTTTCTGCCTTTTAGTGTTGAACCCAATGTTTGGACCAAATAGAGTTTTTACATTTGACATAATTGTGCCATAATGATGCTAAAATGCACTTTAATATAATTTCTGACCACATTGGAAGTCCTAGACTCAGTGGGTTGGGCCGAACCGATCAAGGCCTATCACATAAACGCAAACGTGTGCGATCTCTGTGCTGTGTACAGAGCGAGACGGATCGATACAAACCTCATTCAGATTTCAAAGGGCAAAAGGAAATATAGAGGATTCATCTATGTTTATGAAATATGGTACTTTATTTTTGGAGAAGATTTTTTTTGAACAAAGTCGAATCGTATGCAATTTTTGTGTTTTCTTGCTCTCGTTTGAAGCTAGTTTATGATTCTAATTAGGAACATGGTGACATTATGCACACTAATGAGGATCCATGATTCTCTGGGGCTAGACACAATCTCTAGCCTGTCAAATAATGCAACGCTCTACATAGAAAACAACTCAGAGCACTTAAAACAATGGTTTTATGCAAATTTCAATGAGTTCCCTAACATGAAAATACAGCAGCAACAAACCATAATTGTATGCATTGTATGAACTAACAAAACGTAATTGTTCATTTCTCATATATTCGTCTCTCGCATTAAAAAGGGAGCACAAAATGAGACATACTACCCAGAATTGAAAAGATTCTCCCAGAAGAGCTAAGGACTGTATTTTTAAAGATCTATTTTTCTCAAAAACGTGTTAAAGTATGGTACGAGGCCATCACAGAGCACAGTTTTCCTCCTATATATGATATATTGGTTAAATTGAACACTGTCCAATCACGTCGTACACTAAAAACAATACTGAAGCCCAAAGCTGGAGATATGTTCATGAGAAGCGGATGTGCGCTTTAAGTGCAATTCTGCTCAAGTAGCTACTCTCTGGAAACAGAACAATCAATATCTTTCCTTTCCGACGGCTCTACTGCAATGAACTATTACAATCTTTGTGTAGTGTCTTTGCATGCCAACCAACGTAAACTGTTGAATTGTGCTACAATCAGGTGTGGTTATTCTGTCATGTTATCGTCGTCCCAGAATTAATTTGCTGTACACATCCACAATGACAAATGTAGCTTTTGAATGTTAGCTATAGTGCACGTAACTACATTGGTTTATATATATATATTATCTATATATATTTGCTTTATTGTGAACCTTTTCTTTTCCATCACCAAAGTCCTGTATTGTGCACTTCTGATTCTGTCCATTTTCTATTCACCAGTTAAAAAATAAATATTTTTCTATCTACACGTCGTATCACATTTATTATATGTTAAGTCACAGTATACTGGATGGGTTGGAATAGATAACATGAAACACTGCTGAAGAAGCGTTATGGAAGTGCTAATGTCAACGTTTCCAAAAATGTTTGCAATCATGCTACAGATACGTCCAATCATGTTTTTTTGAGATATCTCACTTGATATCCTCACATTCATAATGCCTCATAAGAACGGTTGTCTCGATTCACCGATTTGAGTGACTTGATGAGCATTTAGTGCTAAATTTGTGGAAACTTTGGTTACAATTCTGCGTTCTAACAGGAAGGTCTGACAGCCAATAGGATTAAAGAAGCAGTTCGATTGACAGGTCAACATCCCAACACAAAAATAGGAGCACAACATACCTAACCCAAACCCCGGGTCAAGATCCATTAGCTAGTAAACGAAAAAAAAGCATTTTGTCAAAAGCTGTGAGACACATGCTGCGGAGGAGCCTCCACCAGACACCAGAAGGAATTATGAATAAGTTCGATAATGGGTAAGGAGGACGGCGAAAGGAGAAGGCGATTTTCTGTGCTGTTCAAGGCAGCAGGAGGGTTCAGTTTCGTAGGTTAGCGTCCCACGCTGATGTTGCAGGTCTTGCAGCTGGGATCCTTCTTGGCATTGACTGTGGACTGGCTCATGAGCTGGTGGCCGCTGATCTCAGCTACCGTACCCAGGCTCAGATCCACGGGGTCGGTGTAGATGACCTCCAGGATAAGGTCCTGTGCGTGGTGGAACACCAGCCGGCCGTCTTCATCCTCCGAGCACGTCATAAAGCGGTTGTTGGCGAGATCCAGCGCTGGCAGGCGCTGCTTGCAGAACTCATCTCCAGACGAGCCCTTCGGCGCGATCACCAGAATGACGTAGTGATAGGCCGTGTACATGCAGTAGAAGTCGGCGAAATACAGGTTTGTCTTGGGGCTGAAGAGCTCCTCGGCTGGCAGTTGGAAGCGGTAACGGCCGTATGGCGAGTCCTGTGGGGGTTTGCCCGTGTTGAACTCGGTGTTGCAGCAGAAGAAGATGCCCTCGAGCTTCCCGCTGATGGGCGAACCGTGGCTGCCACTGTTGTCCTTCACTGATGGCAACATCTTGTTGTTTTGGGCCTCCCTGCAACAAGAAAATTCACTGTAAATGACAAATGACTTCATGGAGGTGACGTTCAGTGGTGCTAAATGAAATTAGGTTTAACGCAAACCATTTTCTCCTGACTTTTGCACTTAACTTCACTGCCAGTGTCTAACCTGCTTAAATCAGTACAGCCTAGCTGGAGAATACATTACAGCTAATTCAGAAACTGGAAAAGTAATAGCAAAGCTATCAAATGATTTAAAAAAGACCATGATTCTCAAGGACCACTGAGAATCATTGAACATTCTGCTAAATGTCTCCTTTTGTTATTCTCTGAAAAACAGTAGCTATGTTTCCATCCACCTATTTTTATGCACATTTTGGATTATCGCATACAAAACCGCTGGATGGAAACGCCAATATGTGCATCAATTCTAAAAATGCGCTTAAAAAACGTATGCGCACAATTGAGTAAGATAAACTTTTTATCCGATAAGAAAAAATGCGCATAAACTACGATGGAAACACATTTACCGAATAAATTCCACCATGCACCAAAGACTTGCTTTCAAAATGGAATGTTTAGAACAATTCTGATTAAACTACGATGGAAACACATTTACCGAATAAATTCCACCATGCACCATGCCCAAGACTTGCTTTCAAAATGGAATGTTTAGAACAATTCTGACTTAATTTCTCGCACTTCCGAATTTATATATTGCAATTATTTAGCAAAAACGTTCTCAGAATTGTTTATAACAGAATTCTGACTTCATATCTCACCGTTCAAGTTTGTCTTGCAATTAAAAAGTAAAAATTGGTAGATGTTAAATCAAAAGAAATCAGAATTGCAAGACATATACGAATTATACGATCACAATAATCTTTTTCATTTTTTTTAAATTCTGTAAACAATAAAAACCAGCCTTTGTGTAAATTATCATTATTAAGTGTCTTATTAATTCTCAGTCTGATCAGAAACCTTTTCCCTTTTTACTATCACCTCAGGGTTAGACCTGATCTTTATTGTTAATGTGGTAAATAAAACGGAAATGATATAAACAGGTTGAAACGCATGACTTATAATCCAGACATCTAATCAAGTCTGTGTGGAATTAATCTTTGAGTTTTGCATGGGGCAAGTACAACAACAATAGACTTTCACTCACTGATGTGAAACCGAATTTAATTACTTTTGAATAAAGCAAGACCATGAATATTGTAAAACTCAGGGAAGTAAGATGAAGTGGTACATTTAGATACACAAACTAGAGTCATATTAAAAAATATATTGATTTCTGAATGGAAATGAATGCCCCCCTTCCCCCTTCACTACTTTAGACTGCAGTGAGCCTTTTCAGATGGGTTTAATTTGATTCCACAGTGCCTCTTACATTTAAAATCATATTTATGCTTGGAAAAACTCATTATAGGTTTATTATATCGCCTTAGATGCATTAAATTCAACAGCATAAATGGTCTTTTCTGCTATAAAGACTGATTTAATGGCTGTTTTCATCCAATTATACTATACAGTACTGTATTAGCTGAATAGAGAATACATTTACTGTAAATCACAGGAATGCATAAAAGTAAATTCAAAATTAGAAAGATAATTTGCAATAGAGAGAACGTTTTAATAATAATAAAAAAAACTTCAGTATTCAGGGATTTTCCAATAGGAAGAAAATTAATATTCATATGAAATGAAAATTGTCATCACTTACAGAACATACCTTCATGTTGTACTAAATCTATGTGACTTACTGAAGACTATCCTGGAGCCTTTTTTAATTATGCAAGTGAAAGGGGACTGGTCTGATACCAGTGATGCTTCTTTTTGAAATCTACAGACCTAAGCCACATTTATTAAATGGAAAAGGATGGCAGGGAAGTTCCTCAGAATTTTACCTGTTTTGTTCCACAGAAGAAAGGTGTCATAGAGGTTTGGAAATAAAGCTGACTGTTCCTTTAATAATTTAGTGTTGATTTCCCTGTAGAAACATACCTTGCGTGGTCAAAGTACTCTTTGTGTTGGTTTCGATAAAAGACTGAGAACCGCAGCATTCTGCCGGCAATGACCTCGGCTTTCTCCAGTAACTGTGTGAGATGAACAGTGGAATAATCTGTAGATACAAACAAACAAAATAAATCAATAAAAGTCTTGGAGAGAGTCAGTATGAGCCATTAATGGCCTAAATATGTTCATGGAGGTCATATCAACAATACTTTAAAGCAGCGATCCCCAATATTCCCCATAAATAAAAAATGTTTACATGAAGTACCCCCAGAGATTTTAAGTATATATATATATATTTATATAAGATATGCAAGTAAATAGATAAAATATTTCATCTTTTTTTAGTAAATGTTTTTATGAATATGTAACTGCATTTTGTAGCTGGACTCACACTGTTGTTTTAGGAACCTGATCAATTATCATTTATTATTATTAATATCATTTACATCTAATTATATATACTATATTACTGCCATAAACTATTGAATGTTTGATCATATTTATAATAATAATTTTACTTTACACTACAAATTTATATAAGCTTGTATACTTCTATATTTTCAACCTCTCAAGCTTTTAACAAATCCTTTTATTTTATTTTTATA